CCACTAATAGTTCTAGGGTAGATCCTAATTGGCTTAAACCAATCAGGATCTCAATAAGGATCACACAGTGAAGGATCCAATGGCCCAGGCCCACTCCACCCACTCCAACCACCACATGATATTCCCAAGACAGAGATAGTTGGAGTGGTATAAAACAAACAAACAAACAAACACCCACACACCTTAGGTAAGCAAGTCACACAGAAAATGAAAAAAAAGGCAAAAACTTTAGGACTCTTGTCTAGCAATTGTGGGACAGGACACGGTGGTCGTCTATGGGATTTGAATGTGGAAGCAGAGAACCCCTGATTGCACCCAGCACCCATCCTACAACCACAGGGAGAGTCCAGCCTTACTATGAAGCTTATACTGGGGACATCAAAGACAGGGAAATAGGACCCTGTACAACATTTGGCCACTGAATCAAACTACTCCAAAGTCCACCCTACTTCCAGACTGTCCATTAATTTCCAGCACAACTCTCCTCATTTGAGTGGCTCTGTTTGCACTTGGAACTCAAACTATTCCAACACATACAAGTGACCTTATTCCTTCATTACTGCCAATAAATGAATCATGAGATTGGAAGTGTTTGGAGCTAAGTCTCATTCTAATTAAAGTAAGTATGTAAGGTACAAAGGAAGAAAGGGAGGGTTTTTTTATTTTTTGTTTTTTATTTTTTTTGAGACAGAACCCCAAGCTGTCACCCTAGGCAGAGTGCCATGGCATCACACCTCACATCAACCTCCAACTCCGGGGCTCAAGCAAGTCTCCTGCCTCTGCCACCCAAGTAGCTGGGACTACAGGCACCCGCCACCACGCCCAGCTATTTTTTGGTTGCAGCCGTCATTGTCGTTTGGTGGGCCCGGGCTGGATTCAAACCAGCCAGCTCAGGTGTATGTGGCTGGGGCCTTAGCCGCCTGAGCCACAGGCACCAAGCTGAAAGGGAGGTTTTTTTTAAAAAACGCTCTGACAAAGATTTAATAACCAGAGCCCACAAGAACTCAAATGTATTAGCAAGAAAAGAACAAGTGATCCCATCTCAGGGTGGGCTGGGAACTTGAAAAGAAACTTCTCTGAAGAAGACAGGTGCATGGCCAATAGACACATGAAAAAATGTTCATCATCCTTAATTGTCAGAGAAATGCAAATCAAAACTACTTTGACATATCATCTAACTCCAGTCAGATTAGCCCACATCACAAAATCCAAAACCAGAGATGTTGGCGTGGATATGGAGGAAAGAGAACACTTCTACATTGCTGGTGGGAATGTAAACTAATACATTCCTTTTGGAAAGATGTTTGGAGAATACTTAAGAGATCTAAAAATGGACCTGCCATTCAATCCTACAATTCTTCTACTAGGTATATATATCCAGAAGATCAACAATCACATTATAACAAAGACATATATACCAGAATGCAGCCCTATTCATAATTGCTAAGTTATGGAAGAAGCCCAAGTGCCCATCAACCCATGAATGGATCAATAAATTGTGGTATATGTACACCACGGAATATTATGCAGCCTTAAAGAAAGATGGAGACTTTACCTCCTTCATGTTTACATGGAGGGAGCTGGAACATACTCTTTTTTTTTTAAGGTCAGAATTAGCTGCTTTTATTGTGTTAGAAACAACTTTATGCAATGATTTACATCTCTACATTTGGAAAATTACTTTGAATAGCTTGGGAAATAGCTATTGCACGGAAAAACATATGCATACTAGCTTTACTACTTTTAGACTAGGTTCTTCTTATTCATCTCAGATGGCATCACTACAGCAACAGCAGCTTCTGGCAAATGGAGAAACAGTAACAAAGTCCTGTGCTGTGACTGATGGAAGTATGCATTCCACCAATCCTACAACTTGCCTACAATCACTTCTCTGCTTATCCTATCCTACTTCTTGTGGATGAACATCTAACAAAATGAGATAATTTTGCCGAAGACAAAATTAAAAACAAATGAGATAATTCAACAGAACACCTAACAGGAAAGGCAATGGAAAC